ACCTCAGACTTTTAAACCCTGTTATCAGTTTTGTCAAGTTTCGTCTGCAAGATCTGCAAAAAATGTAGCATCTACCCCAAACTTCAATGTTTACAGTTTTCTTTTCACCCGTATTTTGTCTCCTTCACCAGGCTCTGCTGAGGCCAGGGGGAATGCTGGCCTTTGGGACCAGCTGGCAGCTCTGAGGTGGTTGCAGCAGAACATTGCCAGCTTTGGGGGCGATCCCGGCCGCGTCTCCGTGGGCGCCGCGCGCGGCGGGGCCGATGTCACCAGCGCCCACCTGCTGACGGACACAGCGGGCACAGAGCTCTTCAGGAGGCTGCTGCTGATGGTGAGTCCATTCCTGCTTCAGCCTCACCTGCACTGGAAAGGATGCTGCTGCAGAGATGAGGATGCTGCAGTGTGTGGGTGGTGGTTTTATTCCATCCATACCCTGCCAGGGCTGTTGTTGCTGTAGTTATTTTTCATCTTACCTGTGACTGTTATCTCCAAGAGCTGGATGCTTCACCAGGATGTACAAGAGATGCACTTTGGTGTTTGGTTTACTCATAGTAAGAATCCAGTTTTCGTCACTGTGGTTTTTTGTGTGTTATATAAATAACCTTGTTTCGTAACCTGGAGGTACAACAGCTTACTTTCCATTCCATAAATTTGATGTTGCTCAGCAGCTTTTAGACCCTGAAACTGATGAGCCAAACTCCCACATGTTAAAGTATCCAGTCTTTTTATCGGATCTTAAGACAGATTTCATTTAAAAGAAAAAGCAAGTTTCAGAGAGTAAAAATCAGTTTACAGATGGGCTTGTTTCCTGTCACCTTAGACCATTTTCTCAGTCACTCCAAGTGATCCATATCCTTACAGCCTTTCCTGTGTTGAGTCTCAGGACTCTGATACCAGTTTTGTCAGCATCAATACTGCCATTTATCTTCACAGCCACAGTGTGCTCTGAAATGAGGCTTAATCACCAGAGGAAGTTTATCTATCCATCAGAAATGGTACTTGGACAAAATGAGCTCTGCTAGCAGTGCTGCCTTGGAACAGTGAGCAGTGGAATAGAATTCTTGGTTCAGGAAGCTGAGGGCCCAATTAAATAAAATGCTGTCTTGATTATAATGACCTCTTTATTCAGTACCTAATTGTTCTTCACTGTGTCCTGGCTTCAAGAAACATAACTTGCTTTTGCATCCCTGTGGCTCAGTAAGTTTATTTTAATTGCATCACTCTAGTGAGGAAGGCAAAGGAAATTTTTGAAAATTGCTGCTTATTAATTGTTTTTTTTTCTGTCATTATCAGATAATTCCTCTCACAGTTCCTAAATTTTTAGTCAACTCTTGACATGGAATTTAATTTGCTAGAAGACCCAGAGTACTTTTATCTCAGTTTCCTCCTACTCTGAAGTCACAAACCCTTTACTGACATGGCTGAGGATGGGACCCGGTGAAAACTGTGGCAGGACACAGTGCAATTTAACAGCTGAGCCACTTAGAGAAGGGAAATGTAAGGACCTCTTTGCTTATTGTTGCTTCTAGAAAGTATTATTATGTATTTTCTTTTATAAAAAAATTTTAAACTCATTCTTCCTCCTACAGCAGAACAGTGATTAATGGAAAACAGTGTCAAGTGCAATGAGCAGACAGGTGCACCAATTCTTCCCACTTCTCTAGTGTTTATATAATTTTTTTTTTCTGGGACTGTGCAGACCACTGTCTTGGCAAAACCAGCATCTCCACTGAGTTCAGAGTAGTGTTAATTTCAGATTTCAGAGTAGTGTTAATTATTTATCCTGACAGCCTCAGAGTGGATTTAGTTTTCTTGTGTAATACACTGAAAAAATGAAAAGCAAGCAACAATAGAAGTAGCTTGTAGCTTAAAAATATATTTGATTTTTTTTAAGTGTTGACAAAGTTGGTTTTTCTCTTACATCTCCTGTAAAGGGATGTGTCTTGTTTGTGTTCAAAGACACCAAAATCATTGAGTACTTTTAATTTTACTGTAAAAAAGGAGGTGCACACAGATTAGAATCATGAAACTGAGAATATATACCAGGTATACATTTCCTGAGGGAAAATCCCTCAGTAGAGCTCTTCTGCAAAAGTCAGCTTTGTGCTCCTTGTTTCTGTATTTGTTATGCATGATAAAACCATGCTGTTCCTGAGCATGCAAAGAGGAGTGGTGCATGAACTTTCTTTACTAGAAAATGTGCACCTGAAATAGCAAAATGCTTTTGAATTTCCTGTGTCTACCCTATAATAGCTTTTGCTTGGAACCAATCTGAAAACAGATTGAACAAAATCAGTGCAAAGCTATCACAGGGACTTTTTAGAATTTATTTCATCTTTCAGTAGTATGATTAGAAATAAGTGTTATCAGTAATTCTGGTCTTGTTTTAAATGGCTTAAGAGCATTAGCCTGGCATTTGACTTCATTTTTTTGATCACTCAATTAATTTACCAGGGTAATGTTGATGTGGATGACTGGATTAATGGTATGGATGTCAGGGGGCTGCAGAGGGCAGCTGTGCTGGGTGTCCTCTCCAGGCATTCCTGGTGGGTGCCAAGGGCAGCTTCCAACCTTCTTTCACCCAGTGCAAGGGAACGCACCAGGTCCCTCCTGGCCATGGAAGCAGATCAGACAGTGGTGCAGAGAGAAGGTTTATTGCTCTTCTACTGCAGTCAGGTGCAGAGTTCTCTGACATGGACTCTAAATATCCCTGATCCTGGTAATTAGCTACTCTTTAGATCCCCTTTCTTCCCTCTTTTCCCATCTCATTCTTCTCTCCCGTTACCAGTCTCATTCCCTCTCAGACAAACCAACCACCTCTCTTGGTTACTTTTTCGTATGATACCATTTCATAAGTAATGTCAGATTTGTATAAAATCGCCTGGGGGCTGTCATCCCTTGCAAGCTTGTGTTTCCCAAAAGGTCCCCAAAATGTCTTCCAATTAACTGTAAAAATGGCCAGACCTCACAGAATTTCCCCATAACCATCTGTGAAATCCAGCCATTCCTATGGCACATTTAATTAGTTTTCGTCACTTTATCATGTCAAAAACATTACTATGGGGATGACAGAGTGTCTTCATAGGTCACCCAGGGAGGTTGAGGAGTCTCCATCTCTGGAGGTATTCCAAAGCCACCTGGACATGGTCCTGGGCGAGTGGCTCAAGGTGACCCTGGTGGGGAAGAGGATGTCTGGGGGTCCTTTCCGCACTGAACTGGTCCAGGATTGTTGAACCTGTCAATGTCAGAATGTTTTATCCCCTTCTCACAGAGTGTGTCTGAGTGCTGCCAATTGTCTGGGCTCTGGGATTCTTTTGTCACCTTCCATCCAAGATACCTTCTGGCACTGGCATTGCAAGGCTGGCTGATTGTACTAGTTGCACACCAGGTTTCCCATTTTCTAAAAGGAGCACAAAGTAACTACTGAATATTATTTTAATGAATAAATACAAGTCATGACTTAGAAATCTGAAATTCTCCCCATATACATTTCATAGATAAAATGCAGTCACCATAATGTATTGATTATCAGTAACAGTAATTAGATTGTACAAATGCCTAGAGTTCTTGAGTGTGTTTTGCTTTTTGGAGTTCAGTGTTTACCAGCCAAATTATATTCATCCTTTAAGTCCTGAAATATGTTTAAACATGTGAAGTATTTTGATCTCTGAACCGTCCTTGCTAGTGCAAATGATTGGATTGAAACTATCTCAGCTTGACAGCCTAGGTTGCCACATTTTACACACTCAAACAAGAGTGATTGCTTGGTTTAGAAAGCAATCACAAGCAGGTTCGAAGAAAAGTACTGGAATGGCCTTCCCAGGGAGGTGGTGGAGTCACCATCCCTGGATGTGGCACTCAATGCCATGGTTTAGTTGAGGTGTTGGGGCATGGGTTGAACTTGATGCTCTTGAAGGTCTCTTCCAACCCAGTCATTCTGTGAATTCTGTGAAAATGCTATGTACTCTTTTATGACTTTGAAAAGTGTATATACCAGTAAAAAAAAAAAAAAAAAAAAATTTAGAAAACCCTCTAATCCTTAAGTGATTTGATGGGAAGTGTAATTTCTCTTTGACATAACTCTTGTCAGACAAGAAATGAGAAAAAATCTCTAACATCCACTGTTACCAATTTGTTCCTTAGTTTAATTATTTTTAAAGCTGCTATTAATATAAATATTATACATAAATATGTGGCTGACTTCAGAAGTCAAAGTTAAAATATCTCCCTGTACACATAAAAGGTCACACCTTTGCAAGCCAACCTTTGCAGTTAGGCACAGCATCATCACATCTTACTTTTCAATTAAACCCCCCTTTGTTCTCTGTTTGTCTGCTTTACTATAAGCAGCTGAATTGCATGTTTGGATATGCCTGAATTCCCATCTCAGGTATGAGTAGGAACTACTTTTCTCAGTAAATTAGGCCTGTTCTTAACTTTGTGACTATTCTGTGAAACTGCAGGCCATTGCCAGCAAGTGAGTTAAATGCTTCTTGTAAAGTCAGTGATTTTAATTTTCTCTCCTAAAAGAAAAGTATGGAGTCACTATAATCAGGTGTTTCTTGGATGCTAGATGTTAGATACTTTCTTGGGGTTATTGATGTCTCTCTGATCCATTCTCAATGGCAATGGATAAGTCTATCTTGAGAAGAAAAATGCTCCTTTTTTCAGTGTACATAGGTTCTGCAAAGCAGGTTTTCAGCCTTGTGGAGAACACTAGAGTCAGACTTAATTTAAGTTCTTGAGCTGCAGTTAGTTCTTCCCTCTGCAGTCACCTCTGTACAATGCTGAAGAGTCACCTGCACCACTTGGCTTTTGACTTTGAGTCTATCAGTTCATCCTGCTTGTGAACCAGTTCTGGTGCACTGGGGACATTCCCAGCATATGCCATGGCTGGGATAGCACCTTGAGAAGGTCTTCAGAAGAGGAAATGCAGAAGAACTGCTGGTGTTTGGTCACCAGCTTAGCAGATTATATTTCCCAGCTGTTGAAGGACAGGATGCTCTGGTTTCTGTCCTAACTCGTCAGTCTGTGGCTCTTTCCTGCTTGTCTTGTATTTAGTTATCATAGTATCTAGGTGGCAAGGGAAGGGCATTCTTATGTTTGTTCCCTGTGTATATGAGAGATTGGGATTTCTTCTTTCTGGCACTTGCAAAAGAAGTGTTGTCATCCTCAGTTAGGGAGAGGTAGGAAGCAATGCTTTCCCTCAGGCCATAGCTGAGGCAAGAGTCATCTATTGCTGCCAGGGTGCTTTTGGTATCTTCAGTCATCTCCAGCCTTTAAAAGAACAGAATTTTGTTACCATTTCAGCTACTTGGACTGAGCCTCTTGGGATAATATTAACAGTTGTTAAACCTAATAATGTTATTTTTGTTGTATAAAAACATTTCTGCCTCATAAATCACCGAGCATTTCTGTTGCTTAGCATTTCTCGAAAAAACAGTACAACAGTAATATATAAATATTTTTTGGCACTTGAAAAGGAAGTATCATCTATATTCTCTTCTTAATCTGTCGGAAAAATGACCTCAATACTGCACAAAATTTTCTTGCCTTCATAAGCACATGAATGTTTTGTGAAGAAGAGTAGTGAAGGGAAATTTACCCTTCAAAAGTAAAAAGTGCTTTTGTTTCTGAGGGTGGCTGTTTCCCCAGCTTCTGAAACCTGACCTACTTTCTCTTGTGGCAGTTGTGATATTAGAAATCTCATGAATTGGGCTGTGTGTCAAGAGAGACACAACAGGAAGGGTTTATTCTTGGACGATGTGTTCATTACACCTGTGCTGTTCCCTGGGTGTGGGAAGAGAGGGGAGCCACTTCTGCCCTGCACATCAGAGGGGTGGATCAGCAGTGATGGATGTCACTGGGCTTTATGGCCCAGCTCTCACTCCTCCCCCATGGTGAAAGGACTCAGGAGTCCCAAAGGGACTGAACACATGGATAGCTGGATAGGAAAAATTATTGAATGCTAACAATACTTCTTTCAAAGTTAAAACCTAGATTATCAGTTAGAGAGCTGGGCATTCAGTTTTCATGGGTTAGCTTGATGTCAGATTGTCCAAACTTTAAAACTGCTTTTTTAATTTCCTTTAGAAGGAAATAAATAGCTATGTGTTCTGTGTTGCAAGCACAAGTATACACATGGCTGGGAGCAGCCCTGTTGTTTCTGGCAGCCTGTGCTGTATGTGGTACCTGTGAATGTTTCTCCAGTTGAAATTTTTATTCCTCATCACCACAGGAGGAACTGGATTCATCTCAGTGTTGTTGTTAGTGCACTGGGTGAGACAGGGTGTTGTAAGGACACAGCAGAGACCATCAGCAACTTCTGAACAGAAAATGAACACACAGACAGTTAATCTTTGCTTACTGTTTTCTTTCCCTGTTGCATGTTCAAATAAATAGTTTTGGACTCAGCAGCAGCAGTCAAAAGTTGTGTTCTCAGTAAGGATACAGTAACACAGGCTTAATTTTTCCTTTCCTCATACCTTTGCCTTTTAATTTTTCATTTGGCATATTTTATACAGTACAAGTGAGGAACTGAGACACAGAAAGACAATGTGACTTGCTCAAAGACTAGAAAGAATGTTGTGACAATAGAAAATAAACCCACTTTTTCTGAGCCTTCAGTGAGTTCTGCTTTGCTTCCTATTGTCTCAACCATGCAAACTGAGGGTAGAAAAGGTCAGATTGGATTGTGTGCACACCCACTCTTCTGTGGAATACGACTGTGGAATGAATTGGGGTTCACAGATTACCTTAATCAATGTTTCTGTGCTCTACCTTCTTGCTCCGTTAGTAACATCACAGATATTCTTCTGCCCAAATAGAGAACATGATGACTAAATGCTGGTATTCTACAACTCTGAGTCTTATTTCAGAGTGAGATTTTGTATCTTCTTATGGTGAGGGAAGGAGGAGACCTAAATCTAACTATGTCTCCTCTTACACCTATAACCCAAGTGAAAATGTTAGTTGTTACAAGTTTTGGGTTCTGCCCCAGCCCAGATTTTAGGCTACAATTGTTTCCTTCTTTCTAAATAGTGAAAGGTGTCAACTAGCTAACATGTAAATACACGTGTATCTACTGTCCAAATTCTTACTATCTTTATGTCATTGGACTTGAAAGTTTCATTTGCTTGTTTTAAATGTGAATCACTAATCTCCTTAGTGTACTCTTTGGCCATCATACTTTTTCTTTTACCTGTGAAATACTTAGGAATGGAATCTTCACACTTTTAAAATTACAGAGTACCCATTGCTTGTTAAAGAACAGAATCTATTGTTCTCTTGTAACTTTTAGGCAATTTGTTCTTTGCAATTTCTTTCCTCATTTTAGAACACTCTCATTATGATGCATAGTAACTGCAGCCACTTAACTGTATTGTTTGTCAAGGTACCTTTCTGATACCTTTCTGATATGGGTAAATTCCCATAAATCTGGAAAACTGTCATTGAAAAAGTGTCATCCACTGGACTGACATTAGTAACAGTGTCACTGACTCTGCAATTGAGCTAACAGCTTGAGCCTCTTGATATAAGCTCTGCTGATAAATTCCTGCCATGCACTTCTGCTAAAGTGATAGGGAAGTAGCTTACAATGTTTCTGAAAATTTTCTACTACAGATAAGGTTGTGTGCTGTAATGGTTCTTTAGGAAAATGTGAATAGAAACCTGGTGTTGCATGCCCTGAAGCTATCTGCCTGCCTAAATGGCAAATAAATGAATGGCAGACATCTTCATGTTGGCAAACAGAGTCAGCCAGGAGTTGCAATCTGTCTCTGGAACCCAGATCTACAGGTACATGGCTTCTGTACAGCTGAACATTTTTGTATGCTCACACTTTGGCTTTAGCTGTGCTCATAGAGAGTCTGGGCATCCCTGACCTGTGCTGACCTCCAAACTGCAATTGGAAATTCTTTAGAGAACCCCTAGACCCTGGTGTTTGGTTCAAACAGTGTTATTAGCATGACTATACAATATCCTACAAAACACCAATGCAGACAGAGCCCATCTGGCCTTATTTAGCTGAGTTCTTGTATTGATTTCAGTTATACTGTTAAGGGCAGCATATTTTAATTTAGGATGAAAAATGAAGTAAAATGTATAAACCAAAACTTTTTCCATTCCTTGTTTTGTGGCAATATTTGCAAGTCTTGGACATAAGCAAAACTTCTTGTTCTGGATTTGATAGATAGTTTTACAGTTGCCAGTGGAAAATTTGTTTTTTCTACACTCATTTTTACCTGAGTAGTGATTGACAAGGTCTTCAAGGCACTGGAAGGTTTGTCGTGGAGAGATGTAATACCAGTTATTGGGGAGGCGGAAGATCCTGTAATGTTTCACCTGCCTGTGCCTCACTGACAAGGAATATAACCCTGGAGAGAGAGAAGAACTAATTACACCAAAGTAGGGCTGCTTGGGTGTCTGTAGCAGAATAGAGCATCTGTAAGATGTGGTGCCATTACTCAAAACATCTCAGAAATGGCTGAAAAAACCTAAGTGGCCCCCTTGTATTTTTTATTATACTTTATAGATATACATAAATATAACATGACCTTGGCATGGGATCTTTTGAAATGCCATGAAGGAAATAGGCCTTCACAGAGTTGTTTGCCCTCCACTGAATAGGGAGATCAGACTCCCAGGCTGGTACTCTTCTATGTACAGCTTTGAGTAAAGCAGTAGCTGAGACCTGGTAATGCAGTCATGGCAGGAGATGACCACTTGGATTTTTCTGTTTCTTTGTTTAGAACTGTTCTGCAGCATTTACTGGCAAGGACTAAATACCAATCCTAAATTTCTTTGAATTTAGTATAGATGTTAAGAAGGTAATTGGCCTGTGGTATGCAAGAGGTCAGAAGAGATGATGTGTCATTCCCTTTTATCTGTAGTATCATGATATTAGAATGTGTTCTGGTGCTTCAGAAAAGGAAGACAGCATGTTGCACTTGGGAGATTTGTTCAATCTGAAGAAGAGCAGACTAAGGGGAGCCCCTATTGCTAAATGTGTTCAGCATCCTCAGCAGGGGCAGCAGAGGGGCAGACCCTGATCTCTTGTCTCTGGTGACCAGTGGCAGGACCTGAGGCCGTGGTCTGAAGTTGTGTCAGGGGAGGTTTAGGTTGAATAGCAGGAAAAGGTTTTTCTCCCAGAGGATTTTTGGGCCCTGGAACTATCTCCCCAGGGGAGTGGTCGCAGCACCAGCCCGACAGAGTGCAAGAAGGGCTTGGACAATGCTCTCAGGCACATGGTGGTATTCTTGGAGTGGTCCTGTGCAGGGCCAGGGGCAGAACTCAGTGATCCCTGTAAGTCCCTTCCAAGACAGGACATTCTATGATTCTGTTTCTATGTCCCCATTGAAGAAAATAAAAGTATAAAGTTGGTATAGTATAATTCCCATGTAAAAAGAAAGAAAATAAAATTGAAGGCCAGTCATTTTTAAAAATAAATAAAAGACCTCCCTTTTTTATATAGTAAACACTTATCCATCAGCCCCTAGTACTTGGTGTGCATTTTACACCTTCTTGAATCAATCCTTTGTGGACAAAGGCAAAATTGTGACTTTTCCTTCATTGAAAGTCCCACTGTCTCATCAGGTTTGCATGCAACCAAAGTAAATAATTGTGTTTAAACAACTGTGTCTTGTTTGTGCTGATTCCTGTGGAACTTTCCATGGCCATCAATAACCCTGCTCCAGGTGACTGGTAAAGGCTGGCACACTGCACTGGGTGCCTTCACCTTCCCATTATATGCCTTTTCTGGTTTTGGTCTGATCCATATGAAGCAGGACAGGGAGTGAATTAAAGAACTGTAAAACTGTTTCTGCCTGAGATCAAGAGGGAAAATATCTGTATTGTCTCACCTTTCCTAGTTTCACTCTCTCTGATCATGAAGGAGCCGACCTTGGTGTTGGGCAGCTGTAGAAGTTCCTCTGCTTTTTCTCTTCCCAGCCCTTCAAATAACCAGCTGTGAAGCAGGAAAAAACAAATTCTGAAATTTGGACACCAGTGAAACAGTGAGCAGCATGTGGCTGTGAATGTGCTGCATTAGCCAGGAAAAGTGACTGCAAAAATAACACTGTGGCTTTCTATAGTTATTCTCTCATCTATATTCAGGGATATTTCCCCAGTTTATGGAGAAAATTTTGCTGGTTTTGAGTTCCATTAACCTTTGTGAGGTTAAGAGGAAAGTAATAAGATTTGGACTTATTAGGGAAAACAAAACTTTTGGGGCTGCTTTGATCTGTATTTCTGGGTACAGATTCATGTGGTATATTGATGACGTCTGTGGCATTAGTTAAATCTCTCTTTTTCATTTAAACCACTTTTGTTAAACCCAAATTGTGTCATAAATAAACCCCAAATAAGTTAGAATTATTTTGCTTCTTCTAGGGAACAGTCCAGCCATTTGTGGATAAGGGAATGTGGAATTAGTCCTACAAATTTCCACCATAACTTGGTGCAGTGCCGTGTTTTGCCACAGCACTCACAGTGTCTCACTATCCACCTGGGTTTGCTCAGCTCTTCTAGACTTATGGAATAGAATGGAATTATATTTTTAAGCTGTTCTTATGTGTTTGATCCAGCCTGTTGTCACTGAAGTTTCAGACAGTGGCTTCCATTACCGCACATCTGTGCCCTGCCTTTGGGAAAGCATCGCTGTTTCAGGAGGATGTTAAAAGCATGTTAAATTTGAAGCACTTGCATAGTTTACAGTGACATTAACAGTTCATATCCTTAAAATTAAACAGGTATTAAAACATTTGCCAGAAAGCTTTTCAGTCTGTGCTTTAATGGGGTTTTTTGGCTTTTTGTTGTTGGTTTTTTTTTTCCCCCTGAGTGGTGTCTATGGCAACAAGAAATGTCTGAAATTTCCTTAGCTCATCCAGTGAGAAAGTTTACATTCTTGAATGACTTATTAGCACTTCTATTTGTTCTTTTTGGCCTGTTTTCCATGAGCAAACCTAGCTAAAATTTTACTCTATGTAAATATTAAAATCCATTCTAAATAGGCTCTCTTCATCAATGTCTTTAAGTTAGAGATCAGTCCATGCAACAGATGCATATTTAATATCTTATATGTGATTTGAGGTGGTTTTGGCTCTTTCCAGCATTTAAAAGAAGGATTTTCCTTTTTACTTAGTCTAAATTTGTAAGTGGATTTAAGTTCTCAGTTTTCAAAAGATGTCTTTTAGACTCAATAAATAAAATTTCTGTCTGCCAAGTCACTATTGGCATTATTTGGACTATGACTCAGAGTAATCAGAGGAGGATATGTAAAAATTTGGTGATGAAAGACTATAGAAATGCATTTACTTACCCATGATAAACCTTTGCTACATATTTTCCTGGAATATAATTTTCTCGACCTGTTGTAAGGGAATGGACTCTCCACCAGCCTCCTTCACTGTGTAAAAGCAAGAGAAGGGATATTTTCAGATGTATTTTCAGAGCTTCTCATCATTTGGAAGTTAGTGAAGTTACACAAATTAGCCTGCAACCTTCTGTGTGTGCTTCTGAAACTGTGTATTCAGAAAGGAACCCTGTTTGGTTTCATTTAGAGTAGTTCCATTTCTAAACCTTCTTGAGAATTAAATGTGGACACAGAAATGAGCTACATTGTTCCATTTAAATTACGTAAGTAATAAAATATTTTTCTGCAGTTGAAAGGAGAAGGATAAATACTCCGTGGTTAAACCATGCTGTGCTCTGCCTTCCCACAGCTAGACTTGTACTGGTGTCCAAGATATTCAGTTTACAGCTGAGAGTGTTGTGTCTGAACAGCCCTGTAACACCAGGATAGAGGATCTGGGAAATGGAGCCTGTCAGCTTGGGAACAGGCTGTGAGTCCAACTGAACCTGCTTTGTGGTTTGCTCTTTTCGTTGTCTTCCATGAGCTGCAGAGCAGACTCAAATCAAATAGACCTTGTAGCTGAAGCTGCAGGCATATCCATTTCCCCCACTATGTCTTAAGTTATTGCTGTTATACTGAATTCTGGCTTTTACTCTTGAATCCCTTCAGAAACAAAGGGTACCAAGAATTTTCACAGGGATGCTGCAAAGGATCCCTGTGAAAATTCTTGGTACAAGAATTCTTTAGTGCAATGACCCTGATGACTCTTGGGTTCTTTGCACCTTCACTTTAGGAGTTTGAATCCAGGGAATTGTGTCTTGTTTAAATGCTGGTTTTGTGGATGTTCATATAAATGCTCCCAAAATAATGTCTACACTGCAGATCTGACTCTCAGTGTGTGTCAGAACAGCTGAGTTGAAATCACTTAGGTTAAATGTCTTGAGTTATAGCTTCTGGGACCATGGTCTAGAATGTCTGTGCTGAGGGAAAAAGGGGAAGTTTTGGATTTGGGTTTCCAGATGAAATGAATTTATCTATAAGAATTTTAGTCCTTTTTCCCCAGAATTCTCCTAGACAGAACTAAGAATTGCAATATGAAAAAAAAACCAAACTCAAAACTGAGAGATTTGTCATCTCTCTCCTCCCAAACTTTAATATTACTAACCCTGAAAAATCCCTATGATGATTTAAAATCCCAAAGCAGCTCATCTCTCCTGCTGCAGGAGCTACAGAAATTATGTATATTGAGGTCAGTCTTGGAGGACATTTGGTTTGATTATTGCCAGCCAAATGCAGTTCATCTGGTAATGAAAGGTGCCTGACCAGTGTGGAGAGTGAGAATCTGTGCCAGTGGTGCTTACATAAATCTGCCAACCCAGAGCAGTCACAAATATCTGTGAGGAATTGCATTTCCCATGGAGGTGCCATGTGTCCTGTTCCTGGCAGGATTGCTGGGGCTGATTGCCACTACAGATCATTACTTTGGTAGAAGGCTGAAAAGCTGCTGTTATAAAAGCAACTGAAAAGCTGCTGCTTGTGCTGACTCCTCTGTGGTGACTCTTCACCACTTGTGCTCTGGTCACAGCTCCTTTTTTACTGTCTTTTAGTTCTTTGAATGATCTTGGAAAAAGAATTACAGCTTATGAGCAGGAAGAGGCTTCAGGCAAGAGGAAGAGGCTGACATCAGCATGTACCCCAGCAGGGGAGAGCAGGTCCTTCATCAGGACACTGTGGTTTGCATAGAGCTTTGGACTGTCTTGTTATCTGTGAACAAGTTCATGATTCAAAATAAGAGGAAAGTTCCCATCAAGGCTTGCTCTGGATGTAATTTATCCATCAGGAGAAGCCCTTGTTCACTGCACAACAGACAAACATATCAAAACCTTCTGCTGCCAAAGCCTATTCTTTTAGAAGTTGTTCCTGCAGTAGATTTTGCTTTGCAGCACATGTGTACATATAATATGCCACACATATAATTCCCATTGATGTGGGCATAGGCAGCCCTGTGGTGTGTGAGGGCCTGTAGCTGATGAAACCTGAGATTGAGGCTTTGAGCTGGAATTTCCAAGCTAAAGCAGTTGTTGTACCATGTCATGTATGTTCTGCAAACTGCAGCAAGGTTTACATTGCTAGAAGCAGGCAGAGAGAATCCCCCTGGTTTAGAGGAGCTCTCCATCAGCAGAAGATTTATCTGGTGGTATTGTCTGAGTCTTGGGTGGAGGAAGAGAAAGCACTGTGTTAGCAGAACATAAGTGCAGCCATTCTGGGTCAGACCAAAGGCCCTCTAAGCCTGTATCTTGTGGCTGACAAAGGCCACTGCAGGTCATGGTGGCCTGGAGAAGAGTCTGAGAATTCATCAGCCATCCGTGATGCTTCTCTTGAGTATTTCTCTCCTCCAGCCATTTCACTATCTGGTTGAGAGTTTTAAAAATTATTTTAGAAGTCCTCCAAGGATTCCTCTGCTATCAATTATCTGGTCTCCCATTGAATCCATCTGCTGGACCAGCTGCAAAAATGAAACTTTTCATTTCATTTTTAGCAGTGCAAGTAGTGGCTGTGGGGCTGAGTAACTTCCAAGCGGTCACTGTGTGCTGCTGCAAGCTGTGCCTAGGGGAACATCAGGGCTGCTTTCTTCTGGTTTTTGTACACATGCTCATTCTTGTGTCTGGCAATACTGCACTAAGGTTAAGGTCAGTCTGAACTAGTTCTCCAAAGCCTGTGTACTTCTGGGGCTCCTAAATTTTTTGAGTGGAACTGACTGAGAAATCTGTCATTTTTCCCTCACTAAGAAAATGCAGAATTGTTTAAAAAACAGAAAAACACCCCCTCCCCTTTTTAAAAGTTTTTTTTTTACATTTGCCTCAAATAGGGATGAAATTCTAAGACATAATAATAATGGAGTTGTTAGGTTAAAAAGGGTGAGAGAGAAAATTATAGACACACTTGACATAAATAAATTCAGGGTGATTTTCATTTTCTATGTGATTCAAACTATTTTGGCTCTTACTCTGTTTTCCATTACATTTGGGGAATACTTTCTTACAATTGCTTTTCAAAGAAAATTGTTCTGAGTTTTATTTTAGAATAGAGTCTGAATCCAGCTTGAGAAACCTAAGATAAATGTATAAAAAATATGTAATCCCAAATTCTTAAACTACATGGAAATTTACACTATGGCTAAACATCCTTCCCTGAAAATTCTGAACTCAGTTCATTTTGCTGAATTGCATCCAGTTTGGGCCAGGTGCATAAAAACAGAGCTTTACTTCAGTTGTAATAAAACCTAATTTAGAAATAAATTGATCAACTTACTCTGATAGCACACGTAGCTTTTCCCCTACATGAAATATAGGTTGACTTATGTCTGCTGAAGGATAGTCATAGAGAACAGCAAGGAAGTCACTCTCCTGACCTGTGAAAGAAGAAATAAAAGGTCACTTAAAACAAACGTAGTGCTCTGAGACATAAATGGATTTTTCTTTAAGTGTTATAGATTTTATGTAGTAGGTCAAATGGGGAAAAAGTCTCTGAATGTCAATTAATAAACAAGGAGCTGAAGAAGAACCTATAGATTTATAAGAGGACTTTGAAGATACTAGAAATGAAAAGTCATGTGGTTAATTGTAAGCAACTAAATTTAGACCACTTTTTCTAGCAATTACCATATTTAAAGGACATACTCAGCTTGAAACTAAAAAATTAGTAATTATTTAGAGTATTAGGAAGTAACCCAGTTTGATTAATGCCACTGTCTCTAATTGGCTCCAGCTACAGTTTTGTATCATTAAATTTAAGACAAGGAAGATGCATGTTGAATTGTTTCATAATTTTACGCCACTGATAGTTTTCAATGGTAGTTTAGATCAGGGTCAATGAAAGTGTAGCCATTATTGCCAATTTCCATAACTTTTTAAAGGAGCTTAATGATCTGCCAGCACACTTTGTTCTCAGCATTGCATGGAGATGTGCAAGAACTTCAGTGACAGAAAACAGGCACAGAGGTGTTTTAGATGAAACCATTGTAAAATGGCAATTTGCAGAGCTGAGGTCAGCCAACAGATGAGAAGACCTTATACATCAGCTGGGATGAATCTGGGACTTGCACCCTGTGTAGGACATGCTGAGTTTTCTGGGTTTCTGAGGGGTAGAGCACTATACACAAGACTGGGATCATCAAATGTGAAATGCTCCTCATCCTGCTGGAATCTGTGGTGCTTGGTAAATGCTGGCAGCTGGGAGGTTCAGAAATGTGTCAGGGTGTTTTGAACTCTTTGTCACAAGTCCTGGCAAGAGGGATGGTGCCATTCACTGTCTGCATTTCTCTTGGAAGCAGTTTCCCCCTCTGCACGTCTCAGTACCCTCCATGGTCTCACAGGGAGACAGAGCTTCCCTCTGCCTCCACCAGGATCAGCACCCTGGTCCTTAGGAGTACCATCTAGCACTACATTTGCAGATGTTGTTTGATCTCCATTCTTCCCACTCTGTGCAGCCCAACATGTGCAAATATGGTTGTGAATTCAGGGTAGGACAGAAAGAAATTAGATAGAGAGATAGAAACACTTCTGTATCCTGTTAGTTTTTTTCTCATTTAATATGGATTTTTTGCCAAGTTCTCTTTAAGGAAGACAGCTTTTGAGGGAAAGCTAGGTGCAATACCTGAATGAATGCTCTGTGTTTTTAGCTATGTGTCTCAGGGCCTTAGAAACAACTCACAAAGATAATGGTAAAAGGCTGAAAGAAACATGAAGGAAAGAAACTCAGCAGGATACCCAGAGAAGTTATGGATGCCCCATCCCTGGAAGCGTTCAAGGCCAGGTTGGATGGGGTCTGAGCAACTTCATCTAGTGGATGGCATCCCTGCTAATGCCAGTGAGAGTGGTATTAGATGATCTTTAAGATCCCTTCCAACCTAAACCATTTTATGATTATTTTGAGAGCGTGTTTAATATCGACATTGCCATGATTTTCTTAGTTGATTAGTGTCACTGAATTAAACAGGACTAGTTCAGCACAGCCAACCACTGTGATTAGTCAAATATAACTTGTTAGGCACTTAGTTCAACCCTATTGAAGAAATTCTGTGCTAAGTCTTTGATGGCTGCCTTGTTCTGCACAGAAGATTGAGTGGCACCTTCCTGTCTCTGAAGCTACTTACTACCTGAGGCTAATAACACCTAAGCATTGGCACTGAGTCTTTCTTGACAAAACAAAATCTTTACCCAGGACTACTAGAAGAAATATGGGCCAGAAGATGCATTTTAAAAATAGCAAATGAGCATAATAGCAAAATGAGGATAAAGTTCCATCACTTAATTTCTCGTTATAGGTTATAAAACATAATGTAATGCTACATTGAATATAGTTATTTTTAGCTTAATGCCTTTAGCATTGCTTTTTAAAAAAATTATGCTGTTTATTTAAAAATATTCTGCTTCCATGGTGAAAGAGTGGAAAACAAGTGCTTTTCTGCTCCCCTTCCTTGTGCACTGTCATTTGCATTTCATTATGCACTATGGGGAAGGTGACTTTTTGTCTACTCTAGCAAGACCTGTCTTACTTTGCTTACACTTTCATATTTATATTAATTTTTGTTTCAATTTTGCATGTAATTTTTAGTTCTGAAAAGGAAGGAATATATCAGAGTGTTATTTTCCACATCCATGCAAATGTTACCTCTTGAATTACATAAAGTTATATTAAAGTGAAATGAAAGGAGTGAGCCCCCTCCTTCTTTTCTTCATTTTGATTGGTATTAAAGTCAAACCTCACTGGGTTTTTTGGTCATGCAAAATGCTCCACCACGCTGCACAACATTTCACAGAACCTATGCCAGCTCCTTACAAACACAAAAGCCTGGAAACAGGAACGAAACAAATTACACGCTTTCTCCACTCCTAAATTTCACAGTGATCTAATAGATTTCATCTGATGATCTCCCCACACTTTCAAGATGTAAAAGAAAAAAGATTTGCTTGAGTTTATCTAACACCAACTCTCCTCCACAGGGCAAGTGGAGGTTACATTTGCAATGGAACAACCCAAAAGTTAGAGTGGAAAGATCGAAGCACAACCGTTTCCACTGCATCAGGTGTTAATTCTGGGTGGTTTTTTTAGGAATAGGAAATGAATGTGAAATACATGCTAATTTTAGATGTCTTCACACCCACATGTCTTGCATAGTGTGAGACTGAATATTGTATCCTTCAAATTATTCATTGGGAATGGAGAATGAAGCATTATTAGAGCATAGGCAGAGCATCCAGATCCAGGTCATTGCCCTCAAAAATCTGCTGTGCTGGGCACTGACATGGTCCATATCTGGAGTGGGAATGAACTCTTTGGAGTTCAGCTCCATGCATCATCCAGCTTTACTGGCCAGCAGAAATATTATGATTTATGGCAGGGCTGCACCAGAGAGGGGGAAGGAGGGCACTCATCTGGGAAACTGTGCAGCACCTCAAGTTGTGGCTGTGGAGTTACACTTTGGTACCCAAGCTAGATCTAAACCAGCCAGCTTGGGAACTGAGATTTGTGCAGGTGCAGCCCAAAAGGATTAACCCTTGATTCAGGGTCCCAAAAGAGGACAGAGAGAGGCTCACAACCCTTGATGACCCCTTGCTGCTCTGCTCACTCTGTCATCAGTCCCTGGGTTGTGTCAGGAATGCCTGTCAGTGTGTGAGCATTTGGGGTGCAGTTATCTTTGGGTTCCAAATCCTGCTTGGGAAATGCAGCTTATACACTGTTCCCTTTCTCAGGGCCAAGACTGGCACACTGGTGCTGAGCAAAGCACAAGGTTTTGCTTTCAGAACACAGGGGGCTCATAGGGGTCTGGTGAACCCTGCAGACCATGTCTGCAGACTGCAGTTATCTATTTTCTTCCCCCTTTTTATTGGAAACTCTTTCATTCTTTCCCTTCTGTTTCAGTCCTTCATTTTATTCAGTCTCCCTGAAATGAGCCAGTGACAAACCTACTTCTCCTAACAACTATTTCAACTATTGAAAGTCCATGGATTGGATCCTTCACCTCAGCTAAATGAAGTCTGTTCCTGGCCTGGTGGAAATCTTTGGTTTGTGATATGATTTGGAGTTTGATCTGCTCAGGAAGGCAAACAGATACAAACCCACTGGATGAACCCCAACACACACTTTGGTACCAGGTTCATTTTTTCATTGGATTTGGATGACAGTACTGGTGTTTGTATTCCCAAGTTTCATTAGCAACATCTAAGCCATTATGAAAGATACTGGTTTGATCCAGACTAAGAGATGGATGGATCCAAAGAGCTACTCAGGCTGATAAATCCTAGAGTCATGGAGTAGTTTGAGTTGGAAGGGACCTTTAAAGGTCATCTAGCCCAACCCTCTGAAGTGAGTGGGGACATCTTCAACTGGATCAAGTTGCTCAGAGCTCCAACCATCCTGACCTTGAAAGTTCCTGGAGATGGGGCATCTACAACCATTGTGGGCAACCTGGTCTAGTATTGCACCACACCTATTATAAGAATTTTTTTTTCCTTATCTCTAGTCTAAATCTATCCTATCTTAGCTTAAAACCATTATCCTTTGTTGTATCACAGTAAGCCCTACTGAAAAGTGCATCCCTATCTTTCTTATAAGCCCTCTTTAAACATTGAGAAGTGCAACAAGATCTCCTGAAGCCTTCTCTTCTCCAGGCTGAATAACCCTAACTCTCTCAACCTTTTCTCATAGGAGAGGTGTTCCATCACTGATCTTTTTTGTGACACCCCCCTGCCTTTGGATGATTAAACATGGGTGTCTGGTGCCATTTTAACTGTGAGAGTGTCTGAAACATCCCTCCAGCCTTGTCAGGTGCCACTGCAACTACAGGAGATTTGTTCTCTCCCCGGGTGGCAGCAGGTGCTCAGGCAGGATAACAACCCCTTTGTAGATGTGCTAGATGTGTAGGAAAGTTCCAGTAGACTGAGTCCTGAATTCCTAAATAGATATTTCCCCATTGTAACCACTGTGCTATCAATGTTTGCAGAGGTGTGTTTTAGGGATATGTTATATTTCCATTATAGAAAGGGTTGCAGTTGTTTTTAGCCCTGCTAAATCCTGACTTTTAGCACATGCAGGGCTAGGACAAACTTGGTCACAGCTATGGCCTGCTCATCACCAAGGTCCTGCTTTGAGTGAATGCATGTCTCTGTTTTGGTGTTCATATGTGGTATTTGTGTCAACAGTTGTTGGGAATATCAGCATAAGGCACTTTTCTTCACAAAAAAAAAACCCCAAAAACATTGAAAAAAAAATTAGCAATTTGCTGAGTAGTTTTTGGTCTCTGCTATGTTCTATGTTAGGATCTAGGGCTGCAAGGCTGCACATCTCGGTGAGTTCATAACCATACTAAGAGCAGGGCTGGGTTTCCTTGCAGCAAAAATCAAACCAGGCTGATTCCCTATCCTTATAATAATGAGCAGCCCAATCGGAAAATCTTTGATGGAAAAAAACCAAAATCACAATACAACAAAACACAAACAAACAAACCTACTTAAAAAGCCCACCCCAAACACAAAGGAAAAAAAAAACCAACTGCTTTCTCCTCTTCAGCTATGGGGAGTGATTTCTTGCAGCTCTAGTGCCAGCTGCCTGTATTAGTGCACCAGGAGGGCTGAGGCACTACTGGCTCTCCACCCACTCACTCACAGTTTGTAGTAGCTGATCACCAAATCCCTCTTCCTTTCCCCCTCCAATGCATGACCTCTACCAGCCTACAGAGGTGGCAGGGAGGGATTTGCAACCTGATTTATTCACATGTGGATGCAGAGGGCAGATGTGTTATATTCTCCTTTGGCAGCTTGCCCTGCGTAACTTGTATTCCTCTCTAGCCTTTATGGATAAATCTGGTGACAGGTTGGCTGTGTGCTACTGCTAATGCAATTATCTGACAGTGGATGGACATAAGGTTCAATGCAATACATCATTAAAGCTTTTAACCTTAAATGAAGGAACCCCAAATTTCAAGGATAAATTTGTATAAAATATCACATGCAATTATGTTAAAACACAGCATTCCTGGTTTCTGAAGTGGTGTTTCGGTGCTTTCTGATTTGGAAGGAACATCTTTCAAGGAGCACCAGCAAATAATACGTTTAACATTTGGGGTTTTTAATTAAAGTGCTTCTTGGAAAATGAGCTAAAACATAGCTAAATATAATCAGTGTCTGGTGGATGCCCTCCTTCTGCCACAGCAGCCATGCACTCGCCTGCTCCTGTCAGGCGGCTGAGGAGCGACACATGGCTGAGTCTGTCGCGTACCGCGAGCTGCTCTTTCTCCTGAAGGAATGAAATGAGTGAAATGAGTGAAATGAGCTCTTACCCGTTTGGCTCAGCGTGTTTGTTTCCTCAGATGCTCTTGGAGCTTTCACAGCATTTCCCATTGTGCTTGCTAATTCCGTCAGAGTTCTTCGGAACTAAATCAAAGCAGACATTGAAATTTAACATCACAATAACACCTGCTGTGCCAGCAAATGAGAAATGACCTCGTTTGGGCGTCTCCAATTTCATACAGTTTTGCTTTTGAGAACTCTGGTGTCAAATTCATGCAAGAGTTTTACATACTTGCTAAACTCTCACCACTTTGGTGCTTTTATCAGGGGAATAGCAGAAAACCGCAGCTAGGGAAGTTGCTCAGAAGAACATGATGTAGTAAAAGTTTCCATTACCAGTACCTCAGCACAATAGGAAGTAGCAGCAGAGCTGTGCCCATATGGGCATTTCATATACAAAATATTTTTTCAGCATTTAGGGTACTGAGGCTGCAAAGGATCTAATTAGAATTATGTCCCTGGTTTTCAGCACTGTGTGTATATTTTTCTAGTTTACTACTGATCACAAAGAACACAGTTTGGTACGTTTGGGCTTTTTTCTGACGCAATTTTGCCCTCAGCAAATGTGGGCAATTTTTTTTAAAGTAACACCTTGCCTAAAAAAATGCTTGATTTCAAATCAGTCCTCCTGCATAAAGCCAGCCAGTGAAAATTCTTCAGATGCCTGCATTAAAAAGTTTTGGTGGATATGCAAGAAACAGTATCAGACAATTGTGGTACTAAATAGTGTGAGAAGAGCAGTTCTTTCTCACAGCTTTGCTGCAGCCATCCTAATTCTCTCTGACAGAGTACAGAGGGATAAATATTTTGAATGTGGAAGGTGTTTCATGCTATGGTATATTTTCAGAGGCAGAAAACAAAAAGCCATATCTATTTAAAAACTATTCATTAAAGAAAAAATACCACCAGCTGATGGGTAATTATTTTTTAAGAATGTATTTCTGTCCGTTGCCCTGTGAAAATGATAACAGGAGCTCTAGCAGCATTGTGTGAGTATTCTGCATCTTGTGGCCTTTTCTAGCTTAAATATTTCAAAGATGATTACTGACTTTGGTGTGCTGCTCTTCACTTACACATGCTAGAGCCTGATGAGGGTCAGGTGGAGAGATATCCAACCTGAGAAGTAGAACCACGGACATCAGCAAGACTTTATTGCTAATTGTCTTTCAGAATAAGATTGGCAGAATTTCAGTATGTTGATTAATACAGTAAATTTTTAACATCTTACAGACAGTTTAGGAAGACAGAATTTTATCCTACAAAATAAAATGCCATTCAAAGGAAAGAAAATTCATCCCTTACCAAATGCAAGGAGCTCAGTGCTAGAACAGATGGTAGTGCACAGTTTGACTCCACCTCATCTGCTTTCCAAGCTTCTTAGTGCTGTTCCCAAAGGCTCTTTGCTAGAATTCTCTATTTCATTGGCCAAATGGAACATTGCCCCTTCACTTTATGCACTCAGAAACTGGCTTGTGGCACATCTGGAGGGTGCAGCTGTGCCAGTGTCTTTCTGACAAGCATCTGAAACCTACTTTCACAAGAACAAAAATGTGTTGCCTGATAGGAGAAGTCTAGAAGCTGAATAAAACAGCGCCCTTCAATTTAAATAAACTACTTGCGTATTCACGTTTTAAAAATAGGTCTCTTTATAGAAAGCAAAACAAAAAAATCTTTCTGCATGTAAATGCACCTAAATTTCTAAACCTGAAACCAGAATTCACTTTGTCAGGCAATGTCTGCTTTCAAGATCATAATTTTCTGATCTAATTACGGGTATTTTTCTGCAAGACCCAATTTTAAGTTGTTGAACATTTTTCTTACTTGTATCCCATAAAGAACAAGAGGTAAACCCATAGGAGTAGTGCAGCCAGTATTTTGGCTACAGATATTATAGATGTTCATGGCTCATCTTCAAATCAGCCAGAAAAATTTCCTGGGCACAGCAATAGAGAGCTCAACAGGGCTGAAAATGTCAGCCAAGAGAGTGAGATAAATACCTGGGCTGATAAACTCTGCTGAGCTCTGTGCTCTGGTAGATGCATTTTTGCAGTAATTTAGAAGAGGGGCTCAAATCTTGCTCAGTGTATAGAATCTAAGCTGCAGTTATCGAAAATGTTGACAATTCCAGGTAGATGGCAAGAATGACAGCATAAATATCTTATGTCCATCTATAATTTTGACACATGCAGTTGATATTTAGATGAGAATTGCTTGAATTTTGTGTCCCAAAAGTGTGTGGGGGAAAAAAAAAGTCCTACCTCTAAATGCCATTTTATGCTGGGTTTTGTTATTTGAGGCTTGGAGAGCAAGTCATCCTACAAGTGTCAGGCTTGTGACCAGTGGCCTTTTTCCTCCTCCTAATTTCAGGTATGCCTGAATCTTTTTGGAAAGAGATATGTAGTATTTCTGTGTGGTGGAAAAACTTCTGAAAATTTTACTTCAGGCTTTCAATCTTTCTAAAAGCACGGCACATTTCACCAAGGCACTTAGATTTTTCTAGATGATGTTTAAGGATCTAAACTCTAAATGCTGCTTTAGAAATACCTGAAGTGTTTCTGCAGGGTTGCTTATACATCATTTGCAATTAAACCACTGAGGCATTAAATACTGGACAACAGGGAAGTTCCTACTTTGTATTTTTGCAGAGCACAGCCTGGTTTCCTTCTGCCATACCAGGCATTGTTCTCAAAGGACCTCTGGTCATCAGGGCACAATGTCAGCTCCCTGCTGCTGCTTTAGATGTGGAATAATCTGGCTTGTGGAAAATGCAAAGGTTATAAAGTGCTTTCAGTGCAGTGAGGAGCAGTGATGTCTCGGGCTTTGCCATCATTCACGTGTCGCTTTTTCGTTTCTCATTGCATTTTCTGTGCTCTCTTATTGTCACTACCATGGTAGCATAAAGTCCTCAAAGGGACAGAGAGTTCAAGATGCTCTTCAGATTCAGAGCAGGAGTGCTCAGTGAAAACAAAAAAATTAAAAGCTCTGACTCTTGCTGTTAATTCACTTAGCCAAAGTGACTAAAAGGAAAAAGAGACATCAGACTAGATTTTACTACTAATGCTATTTGTCATTGTGCATATGGACAGAGTAAAGGTTCCCATAGTCCAGTCAAAGGTGGTGGAGTGAATGTTCTGAGGTATGACTCAATGTTTAGATATTGAAAATGGGACATGGAAATTTTGTTTGAAATAGGGAGGCAAAAAGTGTTTCTACTTGTTTGCTAGCAATGGCATGTCACTAGAGTAAGAATGTACAAAGTAGTATCACAGTTTCTGGAGTAAGAATGTACAAATTAGCCACATTTCTAAAACAATGGTGTGCTTTGCTCTCGAGTTATTGTCTGCACATTACAAATCCATTCCATCGCTGTATGATAAATTCTTTTGTGGTTTTCTGAAACTTTGAGACACTCTGCAAAACTAGACTTACTGGAAGCTTTAAAAATGTCATGAACCAATTCTTTTCATTGAAATCGATAGAAGAACAGTAACAGTTTTATAGATTATAATCTTCTGAAATAGCAAATTTGCTACAGCCATTTCATCTCACTTGACCTTATTGAATCATAGAATAATTTGGGTTGGAAGGGAGATTTAAAGGCCACCTAGTCCAGCTCTCTCTCCATGGACATTTGCAACTAGATCAGGTTGCTCAGAGCCCTGTCCAACCTGGCTTTGAATGTTTACAAGGATGGGGCATCCAGCACCTCTCTGGGCAACCTGTGTTTCACTGTCCTCATTGTAAAAACTTTGTTCCTTATATCTAAACTTGATGACAGAGTTTGGGGTACAAGTAGAGGTGCCATCCTTCCTTCACAGGAGCAGATAATTATGCCAGATCCAAAGGAAATAATTCACTGAGGGTGATGTAGGAAGAACTAAAGAGAAATGCTAGACTCTAAATTCACTCTGTCTTATCTACCCCAAGACCGCTGGGAACCGAAATCTACCTGCAGCTCCCCTGCTCACCAGCCACCTCCTCAGGCTTGCATGAAAATTTGGTTTTAACTTTAAGATCACATTTGCAGTGTTCCAAGCACTGGTCCTTCCTCCTCTCTCCTTTCCACTTGTGCACATCATGTCAGGGAAGGGTGGTCACAGGGCTGTTTGCACACACAGCTGTTGGGGCTTAGGGATCTTTGCTGCCAGAAGGAACATGAGGAAATATCTGCAGTCTCAGACCTGGTCTGTGCCCTATTTATCAGAACTCTCAGCAGATATGAATTCTTCACCTGTCAAGACTGGAATCCCACTGACCTACATCGTGTGACCCCAAAACCTGTGGTACAATTTTCCCCTTCCGTTCCTGTGTGCAGCACATGTAGCAATAACTTCCTCTTGCAGAATTTGTTCTCTGAGAAAACGTGCTTCTGCAGCAGTTAAATAGCATGGAACATGTGAAATTATGCTCCTTGGTGAGAACTTTGAAAAAGCTATATTTAATATTATTGAGAATTAGTTAATATAAAGAAATGGAAGTAATAAGAGGAATAAAAAGGCAAGATAAGCACATGAATAAAGCCCTCCTACGAGGAATACCATAGACTAGTAAAATTAGAACATTTATCATTCCTGAGATGCTATACCGTATTTCATTTTCCTTTCCTGATATTCACATCTATATTGCCAAGGTCTTAAAATTTAATTCTCAATAAAGTTCACAGGTAATGTCTGAATCTCATTTAGCTTGAAAATGAAAGCACTGGCATCCTGTTATTTTTCATGTGTGAAAAGAAAAAGGAAAACAACTTAGATTTCAGAAAGTGTATAAATTTTTTGGTGTATTTTCCTTAATTTATCATTAATCAAAATGAACATCCTTCCAGCTTTGAGGCAGTTGTACCTTTGCACTTAGAAAGAATAACATAATAATCTCATCAAAGTAATTCAGAGACACATGCAAACATGAAACAACACAGAAATACCACACTATCCACACTTCTAACACTTTGAATAAAAAGCCCACTAATCTGTGGGCTCATATTTTGGTTACAGTGAAATGCAGTTTGCTTTAGCATAAGGTTTTGAGCATCTGTCTTACTCTTAGGTTTCAGTAGAAATACTCCTTGTCCTGTCTATCTTTAGTAGCACTCCTTATGAAAAGGATCAAGGCAGACTCTTCTATTTCTGCCTTTGGTGGTACTTGAAATCCCTGGTCTGAATCCTGTCATTGTTAATGAAATAGAACACCCCTGTATATAAATAAAATGGAAACATTTGGTCTCGTACGCAGCTAATGTAAAATATATCACAGCAGTGATTACCTTTAAATGCTGGGCATGGCATTCCAGGTTGCAGTGTTCCTGAGAAAAGCCGTAGTCATAGCACTGCTCTCAGGCTGCCAGCAAGGTTTAGCTGATCAAGTGGAGGAGCAGCCGGTCGAATGAGAATGTTGTGAAGTTCACGCTGTCATGTAGAGCAGCATTTGCCAAACAGGCCACATACTTCCTCTCTGAGAAATAAGGAAGGCTCAAAGTGTTTGCAACAGATGAGGTTCCTGTTGCAAGTCACTACTGAAGGCACATTTTATCTATGGGCTGAGAAAAACAGGGAGGTTTTCAATGTATTGCATCAGGGTTGGTTTCAGCAGATATAAAAAATGAGGGAAAAAAACCCCAGTTTGCATTACTTACACAAAAAGGGTTTATTTTCTTTTCTTCTTCTTCTGAATTTATTTATCCAGTAATGCTTATTTCCCAACTGTTTTCTTTTATGCAGTTTTACTATTTTTTTTTTCTGACAGGCAGGAAGAGGCACAAAACATTTTTTTCTCTCTTATTAGGAATATCTTTTCTCTCTGAATAGGAATGCAGCCTTTGCTTTATGCTTCACTCTGTACACCAAATACCTCTGTCTGCAAATACTTGAGGCTTAAAATCAGCAATGAAGAAATATGGATTGAAAGCCAGTCTGTGAAGTCCATTTTCGCATTTGTTGTAAAAAGTGTAGAAGCCTCAGGACCTTCCTCATCTCAGTGTCTGAGATGGAGGAACCAAGATACTGGCCTGTTGAATAACCTGACTAAATGCACTGAAGAGTGTTGTACTGTGGGTATGAATATAGAAGTCAAAAGGATTTATTAAGGTTTGCCCTTTCCTGTTATAACCAAGATGGGATCTGAAAAACTCCCTGACATAATGCAGGAAAATGTTAAAAAACTCTTGACAAACCTAAAGAAAACAAAACAACCCAGCAAGCCCTAGCAGATTTCCCACTTTGCACCAGAGCAGCTCCAAGTAAGTGCTTATGTGGGAGCTGTTGTGTAACTATTACTGAAACCAGGAAACACTGATCAAATCCCCATAGCTGTGCAAAAAACTTGGTAGTTTGGTAATTTCAGGAGAATATTCTTTCTCTTTGATGGGCTGTAATAGCAGTCTTCAGTTTGAAGGGTCAGGAAAGCACAAGGGAGCTTGATAAGCTAATCAGTCTAAAGCACAGCTCCATGGTTACCCATGCCAGTTATATTTTATTGTTTAGGACCATCTTGCTTTCTTCAAATCACAAGGATGGGACATGCATGTCCATTAATGGCATTCACTAAATTTATGAACAGTGTGTCTAGAATTACTAAAATATCATGGATTAGGGGATGTCTGCAGGTGGGAATAGGCAGAGCCTTTTCCCAATTCTTCTTACCACCTTAAGCCTCAGGCTGCCTCTGACAGTCTTTGTGCCTTTATAAGAAATAAAGTTACCATTCTAAGATGCACTTGGGAATGGGACAGGTGTCAGACTTAGCAGGAGAGATTGGTCACACTTAAGGAGAAGTTGGACTTGCTTGGTAGAACATGATCTGCTGGAAACACAGTAAATCTCAGACGCTGTTTGTATCGCGCTTGTAGAGGAACAGATGACTTTGCAGTGGAGGGTGGTAGATAGAATTCTCCATTTGCCTGTCATTTCTGCCTGTTGCTGGTGGCTGGCTGCTCCTGTGCAAGGATGAGAGCTGATTTACCCTTTCTGTGCATTTAGCTAATACCTTGTGTCAAATAGGATAATTGATAATTAGTGTATATGTCTAAATGGAAGAAAGTGCTTGTATGAATTAAGTAGGACTTTGTATGTCATCTTAGAAATATTCATATCCTGTTATTCAAGTCACTAACCTGACACAGGCACTCTGTGACTCACTTGTGAGAGGAGCATTGTCCTTGCAGGGCTGCCTCTGATGTCAGCAAAGAGGGGTTTGCAAAGGAAAGAAATTTTCCTTCTTCAAAGTGTTATTTTTGATATAAGAGAGAGAATCCTTGCCTTCCTCCCATTTTTATATGGAAATTACAGTCTAGTAGACAATTATGGAGGGAAAGATGTTTCTTTCTCAGTTCCCCCTTCCATTGCTGGACTGACCTGACCATTCCCTGTTACACTCCCTGTGCTGGTGTTTGCCAGGTGTCTGCCAAATGTCTTCTTAGCTGTGTCAGAGACTCCCTGAGCTGTTTCCAAAGCTTTCTACTTCTCCAGGCTCCTGAAGTCAGACTTCATGAAAGCCTGGAAGAATTACATTAATGTCATCACATAGAGCCCTGCAGCCTCGGTATCCTGTAAGCACTGATCACTATGCAGAATTGGTTATCTAAGGAAAAACAATGAAGGGTACTGAAAAACAATCCTGAAAGAAAGAAGCAAATAGGGTCCAAATTGATTCTGAAAATAGTTTAATTCCAGTCTGTTAAAGAATAATCTCCTGAACTCATTGGGAAAGTGAGTCAGTGGTTGTTTAGTTGCAGCTTGCTTATTTTTGCAGGAAGGAAAAACAGGATTTAAATAGTATCTTTAATCTGGCATCAACTAAAACTGAAGGCACCCTCAAACAGAAATAAGGTTCTGTTGCCTGTCCATGAAGTTATTATCCTTAAGCACAAACTACCAAGGAGAAGGCTGTGGTATCTGTTTCTCTGTGTCTCTGCGCCCAGCTTAAATGCTTCATGCAAGATCAAACACAAGCCATGTTTTAAAGGATAGGAAGCACTTGAGCTCAGCAGTCAGGAAATGGAAGAGCCCTGGCTATCCTGGAGGTCAAACCAGATGGTCTGACAGATACTTCTGGCTGGGAACTGTGTGCATCTGAGCCTGGAGAGTGCCTATTTTTAACAAATAAAATATTGCTGTGCAGCTGGCTCTTTTGGGAAAGTAGAATTCTCAGGACATTTCCTTGCTCTGACTGTTTGCATTAGATGTCTTTTGATCTCATTTTTGGGTGGTGTTACTGTAATTGCTGTTTGCATTGCCTAGAGCATGGTTCAGAGCACACAGAAAGCCTGCTCTGGCTGCAGCCATCAGAGAAACCCCCTGCACTTGCAGGGAGTGCGTGCGTTGAGGGGACAAGAAAGAATTTCATTTTCAAGTCAGTTTGGGAGAAAACATGAGATCGTGATGTAAGGAGAGGAAGCTGCGTTTGGGTTTGCAGAGTGTGGGTGATAAAATCTAGTTCCCGTGAAGTTTCTAATCATTAGATGTGTTCTGAATAATTTTTGAAACATTCTGCAGAAGCGAGCTTCCAAGCTAAATGAGGAATCAAAAGACATTCAGCACTGCAGCTTATATGGCAATTGTCTTTTCCAGATAGGTTGTGAGGCAGGTACAGAGTACAGTGATAGCACTGTGGTGGGTTGACTCTGGCTGGACACCAGCTGCTCACTAACCTGCTCTGCCCTCCTCAGCTGGCACAGGAGAGAAAATAAAGTGAAAATCTCATGGGTCAAGATAAGTACAGGGAGAAATCACCTGCTGGTTACCAGCACATACAGGGAAATTAAACTAATTTATTTTAATTAGTTTAATTTATTACCAACTAAACAGAACAGAATAATGAGAAGTAAAGCATGATTATGGCCATCTGGGATTTTCCATTCTCACTCTTCCTCACAACACTGCAATTATTTCATTTAGGGTCCCTCACTACCAAAACATGGGCACACAAACCAAACAGATGTCCATATATTCTATTTAATCATCTCATCAGAACAGCAGCAAGAGCTTGTGGAGGAAGAAGTGGGATGGCCAGGATAGCACCAATGAAAGTTTTTTGAGCTCTGATGTCCCAAAAGAAAAGTTTGCAAGAGGCACCAGCCCCAGCTCAGCTGGTCACAGCCTGATAACAAAGTGAGAATTCACCTTCATATAATACTGATTCATCAGCTTCTCACCATTGTGAACTGCAACATTTCCTGGTATCTGAATTTCTACTGTGTATCTGAGCCTCTAATATTGAAAAGAGAAATTAAGAAATGCTGTCAATGCTTCTGGTCCCTGAACTAAGTAGTACCCAAGGCTTTGACTCCCATTTTCATTGCCATCACTTGTCCAGTAGGTGCTATTGCTCAACACTGTAAAATTCCTCCTATTCCTATGAATTTTGGAGAGCAGAGTAAGGATGCTGTTGTGGGTTGTGTAAAACAGCTGCTACTGCTTCTTCTTTCAAATCCTTTCAACTGGGTTGATGTCAAAAATGTCAATGGAACTTCCTCAGTCTACCCCTTCCCCCTTGTTGTTGGTTTGTCTGCAAGGACAGCTAAAACAAGAAGTGTGTGCGGCTTCAGTTCCCTGTAAATCACTTCTAAATGATGCTCCAGTGATGACAAAGTGACTATTGACTACAATTTTATTGTATATGTCATTTTTAGAGGTTCACTTTCAATAAACAACTCTGCTGGAACAGCAAAGATTTCACTTGTTAGTTTTAAAAGTGAATTTTTTAGCTCTTGTGTCCATGGGTACAGGAGAATTCTTGGAGAATTAAAAACCAGAGGACTAACAAAAAGAACACAGTGTTTGTTATTCTTGAGCTGATCTCATGATTTTTGGTTTTCTGATTCATGATTCTGTCATGTTGATGGTAATATGGGTGTCATGTAATGGAAACAAACAGGCCCTCCACTATTTCTGCTTCTGCCTAAGTAGTACTATTTTTTAAACTACACAAGTCTTCCATTATTGGTTTCTGGGACTAATCACACAAATAAATTATAGTTTTATAGGAAAAGAGGGTACTGCTAAGTGAAGCTCTGTTATTCTCTCTGTCCTGAGCCAAACCTATAATGTGAATTCAGTGTTTAGGGAAGATTTCTGTTTAATGTGAAAACTGCAAGCTCAAAAAAAGAAAGAAAATTAGTTCTAGGCAACACCAGCTTCTATGCTCACTTATTTTTTCCTGAAGGTTTTTTTTTTACAATAATGAAGAAACAGTGACCCTGAATTTTGATGTGCATTTGTAAAGCAGAGAACTGGTACAGTTTTGCTTGCATAACTTCTGCTCTAAGAGAAGTCATGTTTCTAAAGCCTGGAACATATTTTGGATGCACCTTGGAAGGAAACATAATGGTATTGTTTCTAAATACTCTTTGAATGATGCCTTGTGTTTCTCTATCCCCTGCTTCCAGTCCTAGCAAAAATTAAACATGGTTAAAAGTAATAGATTCCG